CTGTTTATGTAGTGCACGTACACGTGCGTGCTGCGTGCGTGCGTGTACACGTGCGTGTGCACATACACGTGCGTGCATGCATGCATGCATGCATGCGTGCGTGCGTGCGTGGGCACGTACACGTGCGTGCGTGCGTGGGCACGTACACGTGCGTGCGTGCGTGGGCACGTACACGTGCGTGCGTGCGTGCGTCAGTGTGTGTGCACGTACACGTGCGTGCGTGCGTGCGTGTGCATGTGCACGTACACGTGCGTGCGTGCGTGCGTGTGCATGTGCACGTATACGTGCGTGCGTGCGTGCGTGTGCACGTACACGTGCGTGCATGTGCACGTACACGTACACGTGCGTGCGTGCGTACGTACACATGCGTGCGTGCGTGTGAACTTACACGTGCGTGCATGCGTGCGTGCGTCCGTGTGTGTGCACGTACACGTGCGTGCGTCCATGTGTGTGCACGTACACGTGCGCGTGTGCAGGTACACGTTCGTGTGTGCGTACGTGCGTGCGTGCATGCATGTGCACGTAGACGTGCGTGCGTGCGTGCGTGTGTACGTACACGTGCGTGCATGCGTGCGTGCGTGTGCACGTACACGTGCGTGCGTGCGTGCGTGCGTGCGTGTGTACGTACACGTGCGTGCATGCGTGCGTGCGTGTGCTTGTATAGAACAATATCACGCATCTGCTTGCTGCCAACTGTTAAACTCCGCATGTGCGCATATGACGTCAATGTTTATAAACATGAAACATCGCTATTGCATGAGAATCACTGAAGAACTGCTCCGTCAATCACACGAAACGCAAGAGAAATTCAACGACGGCGAAATATACAGCTGTGTTACACACACGCAGCTAGGGCCTGCATAGCTCCCAAATCCCATTGGTTGATACAAATCACGTACCTCAAACTCCTGTTTTATGGTGCATTGTGACCCTAACCCTAACCCTATAAACCAAAAAAATTTATTTGTTGTTATTAAATTGTTGTAAATAAATCATGTAAATATGGATAAACAGAAAAATACAGAAAACAGGAAAATAATGAAAAAACAGATGGGATTTGATCCAACGACATTTCAGCCGTGTCGTCTCTGCTCTAGGCGTTCAGCTATTGAGGCATTGGGTTTTTTGTGTTATGGATGTGCCTTGACAACACTGTGGCGTCATTGAGGAGTTTGAGGCACGTGATTTATATCAACCAATGGGAATTCGGAGGGCCACGTCACCGAGTAAACACCGGCATGCGGTGGGCGTAGTCATTGAGGTAATTAGGGTTATTTAAGCTTTATTATAGTTTTTCGTGCGCTTTTAAATGGCAAAAATTTTCAACGCTGCTGCGATGACATGCTTACCAGCAAACGCTGTGTCAAGTCAGTCACTGTTGCCCACGAATTCAGATTAGACGAATTCCCAGTGAATTCCCATATGTAATTCCCTGTTTTGTATTAAATTGCTAGTAGGGGGAGCGTGCCGCTGCATATATGAACTCAAACCTTCGGTTTGCACAAGGACGGGCCGTCCGTGGGCACCACTAGTCCAGCGACAATGCAACGATCTCTCGGCAACATACTGCTGCATTGTTCAGATTGTTCATGATTGTTCAGCGACTCCGCAACAAATATCAAACATGTTTGATATTCCAGCGACGAGTTTCTGGCGTCAAAATCGCCATCGCCATGCAGCGCACACGTGGCGATCTCTCGGCGATTCTGTCGCCGGCAACAAAATCGCCAGTACTAGCGATAAAAATCGCCACGTGTGCGCCGGGCTTAAGTTATTTATAAACACCTCGACAGTGCCTGATAGAAACCTCCATTTATGACTTTTCTCAGGTATTCATAAACACCTTGATCCATCATTTATGATTCCAAGAGAAGTTCGTCTAAAAACAATCAACAATATTGTAATAATGAAATTTCTTTGGGGACAGTGTAGCGATAAAGTAAATAGCAATCCTATCGCGCCCAACTATAGTCAGGCTCAAAATCAGGCAATCCCATGAAATGCCGAAACGCAAGCAATAGCAGAAAACGCATGAAATAGCAGAAAAGCAGTAACCCCCAAAAAATCCCGGGCATCGCCGGGTAGCCCAGCTAGTATATATATATAAAGAAAGAAAATTGTACTCTACTTATTTTGGTAGACAATTAAAATGAAGCTACTTACAATAGAAATTTCCACATTTCGGTGGTTCAGTGAGAAAACAGCAATGGCAATGTAACATGGCCAACGAAATGTATCAGTAAGTAACACTTCTGTGCTAAAATGGTCTTGTTACCGGCTAAGGTTGATTGTGAAACTTTCAGCAGTAAAACAGTCAAATACAAACTGTTTTTGAAGTTATTTATGGCTGTGTCACCAAGTGACTCACCAACAGTATGAGAATGCAAAAAAAACTGCTATGGCTATCAGTGCTTTATGTGTGGTTATAGCCTAGAACTAATTAATATCTTACATTCACATCAATCTGCTTAAATTACTATTGACAGTATTGTATGGTAATACACTAATAATTCTTGGCCTGATTATCTTTTTTAGTTACCAAAGATAGAAGATCATAACTTTGAATCATTTTCTCATGAAAATGACTTTGGATGTGATCTGTTTGACAGCCTGGCGTCCGGTGAGTCATCTCCTTTACATATAGATTATATAATAAATTCATTAACAAGGGACGGTCATTAATCAATGCAGATTGCAAATGGCCAGAGGCAAAGCAGCCACTTGGCACTCACAAAAAAGAGGATCATACATTATTTCCTGTGTATATTACAGCATATCGCCAAGAGTAGATAACTTGATATCGCTTATATATTACATTGTATTCAGTTCATGTAACTAAAATATTTTGTTTTATATCTATGCTGGAATTGTTAAATTGCGCAGTTACATTATTATTTGCGATAAGAAGGGCATTGCACCATTAAAGTTAATTTGGGCCTCACGTTTATCAAGCCCAGCTTTTTTTCCATACGATTTTGTTAGATTACTTCATTCGTTCCTCAATTTTTAGCTCACCTTGACATCGTCAACCGTCCGTCTGTCCGTCCATCTGTCCGTCAACATTTCGCTTCGGTCAACGATAACTCAGGAACCGTTTGGCCCACATGTTT